AAGGTTCGCAGTCTCGGGGCTCGCGCGCGCATATACACACGTATGCAAGACGAGAAAAAAAAATAAGAGAAAAAACTCCGCGTTGACCGATCACCGGCAATAAAAGTTTCAAACGATTCAATAATTTCCGTATGAATAAGTAAAGAGAGTGGATGGTAGAAAAAAAATTACGACGAGGAGAGGATGATCGTCGCAGAATGCGACGTACGGGCGTACAGGTGCGCGCACACACACAAGATGCTCCGCCGCGCCAATGATTAAAACAGCGCGGCTGCAGCAGCAGCAGGCGTATTATATTTTTAGATTCGATGTGTCGCGTAAGAGCAGCTTCGACACGTGCGCGAGACGCTAGAGTTTTTCCATTTTACTATTGTGTGTGCACGCGAGGAAAAAAAGAATGTCGTAATGACCAGGATACGCGTATAATACTTGCTTCGAGAGTGCAACGTAGCCAGCTTAAGTCAGCTTCGGATTATTTATGAATCGAGTAATTTTCTCGTTTTCGAGATGAGTTTTTACTTACATTTGAAAAAAATATCCAGTATGATTTTTTTTCAAAGAGCTCATTTATACGCATGATTGCAATTATAATTATATGTGTCACGAGCAAAACGATATTTTATTTTTTTTTGCAGCAAATCAAATGAAGGAAAAGTTAGTTAAATACTGAGAAAAGTCTCGGGATGCGTTGTAAAAGAACAAGAATTTTCATACACCTACGTTTTAGACAATGAAAGTGCCAGTAACCGAAATGAATTTAAAAACTCGTCACTCGTCGAACATGTTTTGATTTTTATCGTAAAGGTGTTGGATCGTGCATATTATGTCCTTTGTAAATCCAAAGCACATAAACAGCGTTTATAAAAAAAAACGGGTGCACTGACACAATTCTGTTCACGATACGTGACTTGCATGCGCACGTGTATTATGATGCACTCCGCACGCAATCGTGACATTTTTCCCGTCAACCGATGATTTTACCAAGAGAGAGACAATTATAATCATTTTTCCCTGCTTAGCCAGCGTTACACATATTGCTTTCTCCTTTGGAGGAAGTTTTGTGACGAGTGTAAAAGCGACTCTCATAACTAGAGGCTAAAATCAACTTTCATTAATATTTTTATCATTGAACATCTATCATTTATCAATGTGAATGTGCGTGACATGTAATGAGAATGATTATAGACAGTATCATCTTTCAAATAGCTGGTCCAAATTTAGCTATACCATTTATTATATGAAAATTAAACTCTCTCTTTTGGTGCATCGGGTTCTCTTTTCAAATAAAATGCCATATATTTATTACCACTTTCATCGATATAATAAAAAAGCCCTGTTGATATTTATTATTAGATTACGGTAATTAGGTGTTAGTCGGTATTGTAGGTTTTGGTATATATCTCGTGAAAGGCATAGAGGCTGATTTTGAAAATTAGAATTTTATTTTAGATATTTCTTACCGTCACAGTCATTTTAACTTTTTTGTTACTAGAATAATGGATTTTTATTAATAAGCTATGTACCCAGTGTAAATTTGTTTCGCATGCGGAATTTATCATTACTTGAAAAACAAAGCTTAAACAGCAGTTTTTAAATGACAAATTTACAAATATACAAAAATTAAAAAATAAATTAATACTTTTTAACAGTATCGTGAATATTTTTTTTATCGAGGAAGTTTTTTGTCTATTGCTTCAGGCTATCAGTAATTTCTGGATTCTGGAATATGCATAACTTCTCTTGACATATTCTAGAATTTATTATTTGAATTTTCAATACAGAGCTTTTTTGCTTACTTGTATGTAAAATTTTCCACTCTCGATATAAGAAATGAGAAAATAGACTAATTGGTCGATAGACACTTGAGCTTTTATATCGCTTGTGTTGGAGTTTTGCAGACAAAAAAACCACTGCCAATTCATTGGCAAAGAGCTTCCTCATAAAAGATGTTATTATTACATATATATAAACCCTTAATATAAACTGAGCAAACTTTTATTATTGATACGGTACAAGAGTTACATTTCAAAAGATAAAGATCTAAGGAATAAAATGATGTACTTCAAATGTCCTTTTATCAAGTACATTTTTGGATATTGACGAAAAAGCCTGAGGTACTCCAGCATAGGCGGTTCTCCGCTACAAGTGATATTGTCATACAATTTTACTGAAAATTACAGCTTATCACAGCTTAAAATGTGTGTTTAGGTATGTACATTAAAAGCAATGTACTCTCTTCACACCCTCTTTCAATCAGCTTCAATTGAAGATTTATAATTAATTCATCGATAACAAAAGTTTAGTTACTTTACATTAGTAGTCATACATAAAAAGATTTGTTTCTATGAAAAAGCTCTTTGCCAATGAATTGGTAGGGGATTTTTCTCCGATGTATCTGTTGTTTCACTTGAAAAAGGAGTATAATATCGTTTTTTCTGATCGTTTACTTTGAAGAGTATATAAGTAAGCGATAATTGAGAATACACGGAAGTTATTTCAATTACGCCAATTGCAGACTTCAAACGTTGCACGCTCTCGACGAGATAAATTCGAGAGCATCGTCGTGGCTTTGACGAGGCTAAAATGTACGCGTGCAAGGACATCTTTCGCGATCTCTCGGGTGGTGCGCGAGAGACAGAGAGCGAGAAGAGAGAGAGAGAGAAAGAGAGTCGAAAAGCATATCGTGTGCCTGTCGTGTGTCGCATCCCTTAAGGGACTCACACAAAGTCGTCGTCGTCGTCGTCGTCGTCGTCGTCGTCGTCGTTGCCGTGTCTAGCCTTTGCTCGGCAGCGCGCAGTTAAAGCTCCGAAAGCTGCTTACGCTCGCCGCGTTGTTGATGACGGCCTTGGTAGTCTACTCTTTGGCTTTTCTCTCGCGTTAAGGGCTACATGCTCGGCTGTTACTCTATGACGCTATTTTATACAATTTTCGAGACTGCTGGAAGAGCAAGAGAGCGAGTGAGTCCTTTTATGTGTAAATGAATCTCATTGTTCTCCATCGCTCGACAAAGATATACCTTGGTTAATTATATATACACGTGAAGCCCGCGTGTAACTTTGCGCAGTTGAAAAATCACCCGACAGTCGCACAATCCCAACTTAAACGACGAACGACCGTTAGCGAAGAAAAGTTTCGCCGTGAAAGTGAAAAATCAGGGCGTCACTGCGATCGCGACGACTCTTTATACGACTTTTCCTTTGCTCCTAAGCAAAGGCTCTATCGCGCTCGAGCATCGGCTCGCTCTTTGCGCCCAAAAGCTTCTCAAGGCTATATAAAACACAGGGAGAGAGAGAGAGAATCAGAGCTTATAGCGCTGTGGGTATACGACGACGACTCTATATAGCGAGGCACACACATCTCTAGAGTCTCTAGCGACAGATCAATATGACGGTCCGGCATAGTGGCGCCGAGTCGAGCGCTAGCTTGTGCGTCGTCGCTTGCCGCGCGGCTTCTGCAGTGCTTTCAACCCTCCGCAGCAGCAGCAGCAGCAGCACACGACGATCTCGTTCTACCTTTTATATTATATGTATATACAATATATATATGCACGTATACGAACGTGCCTCTCTCTTACTCGCCGTGAAGAACCGCCTGACTCTCTCTCACTCGCACACACTCTCTCGCAAGCTCAAACATACATTTCCATTAAGGGGGTTGTATGTTACGGCCGGGCGACGCTGTTTCTCTCGTAAATCCACGATGCTTGCGAGCAGTATATAGGTACAGCCCGGCTGCAGAGCGCATCAGAGCGATTCGTTATATATCCTTCTATACGTTACGCCTTTTTCGGAGAGGCTGCGCGTGCAACCATTATCGAGCTTCCATCGTAGACGAGACGAACTATATATACGTATGTATGGACGACGATGAAACGAGCGAAGGGGGAAATATTTGCCGGACGATGCCGCGCGTTCGTTTTTTGACGCCAACGTTAGCACATAGAAAATCGACCAAACGAACCCGCACGGGACGTCGCGCGCAATTTCGCCGAGGGTCATTGCGTTTACGGTAATGAGCATGACCAGTACGCGCTATATTAACGTGTATAAAAGCAGATCAAAAGCTTTCGGCACGGTTCACTGCGTCGCGTGATCGACGGCTAGATGAGTGAAACGCGTCAATGTGAGGGAAATATCAAGTGTGTCTCTTGTGGACATTAGTCCGGATGTAAGGAATTAACGGGAATTGAAAATAAAAAAAATTAAGAGGGTTCGTTTCGATAAGTATAGTTTTATGACGATGATGTGAATTTCGATAAATAACGAAAAATTAAAAAAATTGTATTCAAAGTGTCTCTAGCATATTTTTTTTTTAAATGTGAGAATCATTTGAATATTATTTAATTTCATCAATAAAACTTTCAAGAACCTCGAAACAAAAGTTGATAGTTTAACACGTAATCTTATTGTGTCATTTGATTTATTTTTTACGGGACCAGAAGGTATAACTCCATAAGTCCACGAAGCAAAATGATTACTTTTAATTACCAAAGCCCATGTAACTATGCTATGGATTTTAAACAATTTATAACAGATTTGAAAAAAAAAACAAAAATGTACTGCTTTTAATTGAGCTGTAATTTTAAAACTTTTGTGTTTTGCTTCATCTCTTATACATAAAATATTTTTTAATGGCCTTAGCTGTTCAATTAATCTTGGGTAGTTTAAAATGAAGTGCATTTTAAATATGGCATTTTTTTTCTAATAGTTCAATGTATAATTTAATTAATTTTTCAGAATTCAACTAAAATTCTTTTAATAATTAGGTACTTATCTATCTTTTATCTAGAATTCTCAATGAAGTATTAAGCGTTATGTACAAGGGCCAATTCATGTCATTCTGAGGTATCTTTTGATGTGATGTAAAACTTCGTTTCGGCCGTGGAAACGGCCCCGATTCAGTCAAAATATAAGAACTTTTTCATTTCAATCTTGCAAAAATTTAGTTTATTTTTTATCCATACTATTGAACTTGATACAGCTACGATGCCGAAGGATGATTTAAAAGAACTGTACCATTAATATCACATAAGTACAAATGGTACCAACAAACTACAGAATAAGATGTAAATTAGTAAGCTATTAAAATGAGATGCAAATCAGCTGTAAAAACTTACTGGAACGACTAAATCGTCGTTTATGTCGTAATATCCGTGAACAGAAAAGTGTATATCGTTGCAGGTCAGATAATCGAGTATATGGCACAACTAAAATGAATAAAAAGATCATTTAAAGTTGCCAAAGTTAAAGTATTAATGTTTTTTCGTACTCGTTGTTCGGTCGGTTCATCGTAATCGTTGACTATTATACTTTCGCTTATGATTTTGCCGGTACGACTGCTCTAAAAAGTTCGAAAAGAAAAGAAAATGGCAATCTGATTCAGTTTGGTGATCAAGTCAGCGTTACCTCCTTCAAGGTGACAGTTGCCAAGCCCGTCAGCATGACCAAGGAAATTAAGTGGAAAATGATATTGAACAAGTGCTTGCATATATTGAGTATCGGCGTCAACGGGCAGCTACTGCAAACGACGATCTCGACCAATGTGTAGGAGCTGCTGATTATGGTTATGAAGTAGTGGAACACGCAGAGAAACAAGACCGTCTGGTACAAGCTCGAGAGATTCTGGGCCAGCTTAACCACGACGGCGTAATACGTCTTCAATTTCGTCACTTGCTTGTTGAAGCGGGCATTATTGTAATTGCGGTAGATCGAGATTTCTCGCGGCTGCTGCTGGTCCATAATGTTGTAAATCAGGCTGGGTTTTTCCTTCGAAAGTACGATTTTTCTACTGAAAAGCAAATTGAAGCGCTTTAATAGAGAAAGTAAGCTGCCATTGATGGCTTTGAATGCAGCGTGACAAACGCCGACGGTGGTGATGTAATGCATAGTCATGCCGTGCATCAACAGGTCCAGCATATGGTCGCCAAAATCCTCAAAGTCCCAGCTACCCTGGTACATGCAAAATGTCACGTGCAAAACCACCTTGCTCAAGATCAGGACGAATGTTATCGAGTACAGAATTACGATAGCATTGATCGAACTGGGCGATGACTTTTTATCCCTGTTCTTTTCGATACTGTCCGTCAAAATTCTAACGGCGTTAATTTGCTTGAGGACCTCTTGAATGGCTTCGTGCTTTCTGTAAAATGTAGTGAAAAAATCCACATAAGCTAGACTGATGAGTAAGTTTATGAAAACTTCCACCACTATATTGAACTTGTATCCGTGTACGAGCGACATTTTGTAAATCGAATTGCATTGTGATGATATCAGAATCGACACGAAAAAAACGCTATAAACTGCGCTGAATAGCGGCAGCTTCGTACTGTAATAATGAAGGCAGTCGATTTTTTTTGAATTTTTGAAATCAATGTTACCAGTCAAACAGAAAATCTTAAAGTAGTAAAAAGCGCATCGTTCGCGAATGTTCTTCGACATTTTTCATTTTCTTGGCTCACTTGTAATAACTGAATAATCTTAAACGTCTCACTGTTTCATGTTCGAGACCCATTTTGTTTATACATTTCCATTGAATGCATAGAACTATCGATTAATGAGACTTTTAGCTATTCGCCAACGCGATGTCACAAGTACTACTGACAAGCAAAGCATGTCAACTCATATCGACTAAATGAATCGAATTATCCCGTTGATCTACAACTTTTCCTGAGTATTTTCATTTGCAATACTAACATGTACTCATGAATATGCTGATAAATCGTGTAATGCCGGAACTGGCATTATCTGTTGGGCCGCCCTGACGAGCCATCGTCGACTTGCCGAGTGCATAGTTAGTTATAAGAATCATTATTAATAATGGTATTTTGAATCTGATTTCATGTGAGCACCAAGTGTGGAAGAATAGAACGTAAACACGCGTATCCGTTGAGATAAGAGAGCGTACATATGAACAGAAGAGGGAGTCAAAGATTTGCTTCGAGAGCGAACGGAGCTCGAGTGTGCGAGTTGAGCGCGACATCGTCGGGGATGTCTACGTCGGATTGACGAGTACCGCACGGCGAGTAAGATCCTACGTCGCCCGAGTAAAGAGTGCGAGTTCCGGTACGAATCGATCCGAGTGCGCGAGTGAGAACCAGTGGATCCAATGGCCGAGCAAACCACAAGGACAACCAAGGGTGGATCTGGACCAGGAGAAGATCTCGACATCGTGTGGTGAGTCGGACGGCCCAGTCCTCAGTCGTTGTATTTGTGAGTCGTGCGCGCCGACGTGTCCGCCAGGGTACTCTCTGAGGCAGTGTATAATGTTTGTTTAATACGAATAAACCTGTTAGTTGTTATTGTTAATATTGAATGTTTGATTCTTGATAGATGTGTGAGTGTAAAAAGCTTTCCTTTCCCGTATTGCATGTATCTTACAGGTAGACTCCGGTCGCGCAAAACGGATCCACCAGCCCAAAGGACACAAGTAACCGACGAGGTGCGTCGGGGTGAGAATAAAGGTTACAATCGGCATTTCCAAAAATAAATGTTCCCAAATTAAATATTTATCTTTCGTCGAATGAAAATTGTAATCAGGCGTTTGAGTTTTGACAATAAAATCACATGTTCATCCCCAGTAATCGCATTTTCTATACAGTGAAGGGGCCAACTCTTTGTCAAGAATAGTTGTAAATACCTTAAAGGGAATGGTCTTATGACTTCGTTATGCACAGTACAATAAAAAAAATTTTTGTTTTTATTTTCAGTCTTTTATTTATTTATAAAAATATTATATTAAACAATTTTTAAATCGAGACTATATACAATAAATTTACAATTTTTTTTATACATATCTCTAATTAATGCTTTTAGAGTCGTTCACGATACCGAACTAATTCTATCAGTCGGTGAACCCATACGCAATAAAACATTATCGAGCCATATCAAAGGGCCATTAAGATGTATCTCGATCCAGCACGGTGTAGAAGTTACGTCTTGACGGTGATAATTTACTCCCCATCCTTTCACGAAGGATATTCTTATCGTACACATTTTCACAAGATCAAAAACTGACTCGTAGCCCTCGTGGATTCGTTCACCCAGCAGATTAGCAAATAGTGTATTGTCAAATATCTTGATCGAACAACCTGGCGGTACTTTGATGACGGTACTGATGTGGAATCCTCTCTCGTGATTGCAATTCCTAGATTGCACGAAAATGGACGTTTCGGAGTAGTTCTCGACGAAGAGGGCATTGGCGGCGTAGTTGAGACGCAATCCTGGGCCGATATGTTTTCGCGTGTTCTCGATGGTCGAGTTTCGATCGACGTTGGACAGCTGACCTAGACAGAATCTGGCCGTGTCTTTGCGTGGATCCGTGTAGCCGTCCACGACTACCGACTTGTGCTCGCATTGAAAAACTTCGCCCACGCGACTGTTGAGCTCGTAATAGGCGATCGACGCCCAGTACTGCTGCTCTTGGTACGAGACTTCAGCGCTGCCCGGGCTGTTCGACGGCGAGTCCGTCGGTGACGGCGTTTGCTGCTCATAATACAGCTGAGGACTGCCTTCTGGACTCGTGGCGCCAAACCAGCTGGAAACGGATTCGTAGCTCGATACAGGCGAGCAGTTGGCTGTATTCGTGCTACTACTGCTACTGCAGCTGTTGCTATTGCTCGAGTTGTACTGGGGATACTGATTGTAATTCTCGATCGGGTAGTTATAATTCATGGTCTGTGACACTATTTCCTCGGTCGGGTTGTACGTTACGTTCTGGGGCATGGTGTCCTCGCTCTGTTGCTCCACGTAGTACTGGACGGGCTCGCGGCCCGGGGCGTACTCCGAAACCGTGGGAACGAGCACGGGCGGCAGCTTAGCATTGCCGACGCGCTTGTAGTGGTACGGGTTGATGCAGACCTCCTTCTGACTGCTCGAGAACGGAAACTGGCAGATCTCGAGGGGTTTGAGCTCGTGATGAGACTGGATGTCGGGCCATCGCCAGACTCGGCAGTAGATGACGTGGGGCATGACCTTGCGATGGGACACCTGGAGACGACCGTCGACCGAGCGAGGAATGGTGACGCATCTTGTCGGTACGTCTGGATTCGAGATGGCTCGCATGAGCTCCTCGTAGTCGCCCTTCTTTCTTTTGAGCTTCTTTACTAGCGACTCGACGGCTTTCTCCGCCCATTTATCGTCCTCGCCGATTTGCTTCCAACCCAGGAGCCTTTTTACGGCAGGCTTGGTGAAGGTGAAGAGACTTCTGAAGGAGGACATTGGGCCGGGTTTCGACGCTATATCGTCCATGACAATCATTGTTTGTATGTATGTATATTAGCTACACGGAGTGTCTGGTCCCTTTGTTGCTGCTCCTCTATCTGTACAGTTGCTGCAACAAATAATAATAAACGATCGACGTTAGTCAAGTTTTTTCAGAGAAAAAATCAAGTTCCAATGTACGTATTATTCATTATATTGTGTTGTGCATTATTGTTCAACACCATTGTTAAAATTAATAAACCTTAACATGAGTTTTAAATTACAAAAAAGATTACAATCTTTCGGTTGTTTTTTTTTTTTTTTTAATAAATTTTCAAGCTTGCTCTATACGAATCGTTTTGAAATTAGAAATTCTGCAAATGACCCAAAGAAAATTTAAGAATTTTTCTCACACGTGTGCAGAATTTTAGAACGATTCGGCTTAGAGCGATCATTAGAACGGTTATTAGAACGGTTAGTTTTCGAGAAATCATCACTACGGTACTAAATCGTCAATTATAGTAAATCAGGTGTTTATGGCGTTATTTTCAATCTTAAAAAATATGTTTTTTTTTACTACTTCTTCATATTATCAATCATTATTCTAAGAGTTTTAATAAATTACTTTTATAAATTTCATTTTTTTTATTCAAAATGTATTTACCTCCTTGAATTAAAGTCCATGCTATTTAAGGTGGCTAGTCAGCAAAATGGGTCGACAACAGATGTTTATGAAACTTTGCAGAAGTATCATTCAAAGTGCTCTTTGATATGCTGTAGAAATTTCAGCATGGGTTCTCGAACTAATTTTTGAGAACGAAGCCGTTGAAAATATCAAATTTAACATGGGCTATTATGGGAGGCCACCATAATTTCATACATTTTACGCCATAACTTTTTTATTAAACAACAGATCTTAACTAAAAACGAGTATGTTATGCTTTAAGTCACTAATTAATTAATAATTAAACTAACTAATTAGTAATTAAACAAAATGTGAGTAGTTATTCGGTCGGTTATTTTCAAGCATTTGGCAACACTGTAACCGCCGCTTGGCGCCACTCACGCCCGTATTCAAAAGTAACTGTATATGTTTATTCGGACCGAGAGTTAGCATGGTGGGGGTATACGATGTCAGCGCTGCTTCGCAGACTCAAGAAAAAAAACAGGACGCTTTTACATGCTTATACATGCTTATACATGAGTTAAACAATACAAGTGATTTAAAAAATGCCTTCTCATGTAAATTGTTGCGTTATCAACTGCGGTAATACGTGGAGAAACACTGATATTAAATTTTATTAATTTCCTTATTCCCAAAATAGACTTAACCACCGGAATGAGTGGATCAAAGCCGTTAGAAGGAATAAGTATGACATAACCTCATTTTCATAAGTTTGAGTGCTGTCAAATAGAATAGGGTAACTGTACCAATATCCGGCCACCCCCCAATACCCGGACACTTTTATTCAAGTCATATAAACATTTGAACAAATAATAAAATGATACGAATGGTATGATCGAGTTAAGTATTATTCATGAAGTGAAATTATCGTTTTATATGGTAATTTTCAATTAAATTAATGGAATCATATAGTATTAAAAAGTGGACGGATATTGGCGCAAAGTGATTTTTCTTAAGACCAATTACCAGCCACTTTTTAATTTAAATTTACGACGTTTACGGTTTTTTTTTTAAACTCTCTTTGTGAATTTCGACATATTTGAGGGTAGAAAATGGTCGGGCAATAGAACATCACTTCTTAGCTGTCCGGGTATTGGTATAGTCACCCTATATGCAGACTTACGCTCACAGAAATCGTTCACGCAGTTTCAAACTCAAGATTGACATAACCTTTTTCGAAAACTTTCTGCGCAACTTTTTTACAAAAGAAACGGCTGATACTGTTTTGAACTAAAATGTATCTTCGAGTTTAATCATAAAGAATTTGAAATGATGTTTTGTTTGTACGAAAAGATAATTTTATTTGGTTGTTACATAAAATTGAACTCATGTTCTACTTGACTCAATGTATAAGCGTCCTGTTTTTTCTGCTAGGTACCACGTGACCAATAATCATAATCAACGCTCGAGGCGAATAAAAACTTGTCAAAATGTAAGCTCTGTATAGGTTTGTTGAGCAAATGCGACGACGGTCGACCGTCGTTTTCGCCAACGCCACGCCACCTGACGGCGCAGTCGCAAACTACGAAATGTGTCAACTGCATAACACGAAAAAGTGAAAGTAGTCGCTTCGGTTACTATTGTTATGATTACTGACTAGCCACCTTAATTTAAATATTAAAGAGGCTCTACACCAATCATAACAATAGTAAAGCTAGGCATCTGTCTGTCTCTTTCTCGCATTAGGCAGGAAACCGCTCGCACTATTCGAAATCAATGATTTTACGCACATTTTGTTTAATTACTCATTAGTTAGTTCGTTAAGGGGTAATTTTTAACATACCAATCGAAAGCTTGGAACTTTCTCTTTCAGAAAATATATTTTTCATTAAGATGGTTGATCTTTTAAATTATCTAGGAAAATGTCGATCACTTATTGCACTGTTATTTCGACAGATTGAGGTTAGGTAAAACGCACGTGAATGAGTAAGATAGGAATCATTCTTCTCTTTTTAGTAGTTATTTTGTTTAAAGAAAAACAATCAAAATTTTTAGGCATATAGTCTAACAAACGAGACTAAATAACAGAAAAAACCTAAGAAATCGAACTCATAGTAATAAAATAGTATATTGCTACGCAACGCTGTAAAAAAACAAAAACAGTCTTATGGCACGCGCATTGAATATTTTTCAATGTATATAATGATGTTTTTTTTTTCGTAAAATAAACGATTTTACGAGTCGGAAGCGTGGGCTGATCCTTGATTTGTTAGAAGCCTGTGTCTGCACCAGTTGATAATTCTATTTTTTCTCAGGAAAGCTTAAGTTTCCGCCAAAGTTGCGTATTTCAGGTTAGAATGGACAAAATGTTTAAACGTGTTCATATTTCTATACCTACAGATATTTTCTTTTTTGCGCAAGATCTTCTATAAAAAAATTAATCATGTAAATTTAATTGAAACTTACTTTAATCAGGTATGAAAAGGCTTTTGCAAACGAAATATTCACGTTGTCGAGATGCTTGGACGAGAGATCTACAGTTGAATGCTGCCACTTTTTCTGATGATGCGTGATCAATAGATCTGTTCTAACTGAAGCTAAGTCTATATTATTCGTTTCTTTTAATGCGGGTGGAGCCGCAGTGCCAACTGACGGCCGTTGGAAATAGCTTTATCTCTCCAGTGCTCTAAAAAGCAATACCAAGAGTGAGCGCCAAATTCAAATTCGTGTAAAGATGTAAATTAAAAGCTATCATATTATTTAAATCAAATAAATTCCGTCAAGTATTCGTCAAACTAACAATTTTATATTTCAAACTGTTAACCTACTGAAATGTTTACAATAGAAGAATTCAAAACCGTGGTGATATTTGTTTCAAAAGTTTAAATATGGGCAAGTAAGACAGTCTGGTCGTTTTAATTTAAGCCTAAATTTAAAATCTTTTCTTTTTCAAATTGTTGAAACTCAATTTCAATCCACCATTGATTAATTACTTTGCTATGATAGTAACGAAATATTAAATATATTCAATTTTCCAACCTTTAGTTTTATAAAGTTAAATTGCAAGTCAGTGATAAATTTTGTTTTTCATTATACTTGTAATGCAAGTATGAAAGTATGATTTTTCATTCAAATAATGTACAAAAAAGGCAGATATTATTCTGTTTTCAAATTAAGTCATTCATAAAGTAAACAATGTTAATTTCATTTAGAATAACTACATCATTTAGAATTCATCAAATATCATGATTAAAATAATAAATTATTAGCTCTAAATAATAAAAAATTCTTGGTATAATCTTTTGATAAGCTGATTTAACGTACTATTGTCTAGCCTCGAACAGCTTATTAGACTATTGTGAAAAACGGATCCTTGCAGTTTTTTTGATTATAGAAACTTTCGATTGAAACGTTTAGTAAAAAAAGCGAGCTCACCACACTCCTTGCCAATTTATGCAAAACACGATAGTGATATTTGCTGCTGCTGCTACTGCTGATATGGAGCTTACGTATTATTCGTATTTAATTGTATACTACATGTGCTAAATTTTCATACAGTCAAGGCTCGCTAGACAATATAACGCAGTTTGCGTCCGCTTGACCTCAAATTTTCCTTGCATACAGCATTTATAACGACATTTCGAAGTCTGCACAAGAAGAAGTGCGCATCTCTCCTCGACCGAGCGAAATATTTGCCACTGATAACTCACATATACACACACGCCTGCACATCTGCAGTAGTGTCATTGCCGAGCGAGATTGTTTTCTTCTCGAAAACGTAAAGAAAAATATTAAACTATACGTACGAACTGCATACGCGGCAAGTCTAAATAGAAACTTTTAAGGGTAATATGACGTCGCCAGAGCTGCTGCTGCCGCTTCTACGTGCTCCACTTTCGAGAAACGCTCTCGTTTCTTCTTTCTCGTCATCGTCATTTTCATCCGAATGTCAGGTGCACATGTGAGTGTGATGTGTGTTTGTGTATGTTTGCACGAAAAAGTGGTACATGTGTGTGTGTGTGTGTTTGCAAGTGTGTATTGCGCGGCGCGGATTGAAAAATTAATTACTCTCCGGCTCACTTGACATTCTTACCTGGCATTCGTCCTCCGCTGCCGTGTAGCTCATGTGTCATACATGTGCAGCGCGATATATGCCAGAGACGAAAGAAAAGCTTTTAGTCTGATTCAAGAGCCACTGGCGCTAATTTCTTGGCTAGCTCTCTTTTTTACACCTCGCAGCGAAGAGAGCACCTGATACGCCTACGATGTGTGTTTCGCGCGAAATCATTCGTTTCGATTATTTATATTTCGAGTTTCACTCCACGCGGAGTATAAAAAGAGATTTGATACTCGTGAGCTAGCGGGATACAGGAGTTGTACGTTTTTTTATTTCAACTGCACTCTGTTTCGTTCGACGCAAGCT